TAGAATACTCAAGACAAGGGAGAAGAGGCGATGGCTCAACTCAATATACCAAAAATAAATACTCAAAGAAGAAAGAAAAGGCAATAGCTCAACTTTAAATACACAATAAAAACACAATAGAAGCTTTATTAAACATAATAAAAAGAAGGTAGGCAATGACTACACTTCTAAGAAAATAAGTTGTAATTAACAAGGAAATAAAGTGAGGAGGAGACAGTCTGCTCTGCCTTGAGAAAAAGGGCAAGGTTTTTATATCTTTTAGACTATTAGTAAACGACCTAGTTAACGACCTAGTTAACGACCCAGTTATCAACCCAGTTAATGACCCAGTTAACAACCCTTTTAACAACCCAGTTAATGAACCTTTTAACAACCCAGTTAACAACTCTTTTAACAACCCAGTTAACAACCCAGTTAATTTACCTGTTAACATACCTGTTAACATACCTGTTAATATACCAGTTAACGTACCTGTTAACATACCTAATATTATACTAAAATTACTACTATTTGTTAAAAATTTGACTATTAAACTAAAGCTAAAAATAAATATATAATAAAAATAAATTATACTAATAAACTATACTAATAAAATCTTCTAAAATATGCTAATAAAATCTACTAATATAACAATATGAAAGGATAAGTCAATTACAAATTAAATATTATAGCGAACTATTGATTATGCATTATAACAAAACATTTATCAAATATTGCGAAAAACTATTAATAATACTATGTTAAATAAATCATATTCTTGATAACTTTATAAACTACTAATCATAAATGCATCAATAAAGTAACTTTAACATGGGCATGGCTTTAACCATTCCTCACTAAAATTAAATTTGCTATAATACTTCCTTCGATCAAAATTCCAGGTTTAAAATACGTTGAACATAATAATGATCTTTTGGTCGATTCTGATTTTTTTGCTTCTTTTTTTTTTATTAATATATTCTTGAATATATTATAAATCGATGACTATAAATATTGGATGCTTATGTGAATTAATAAAAATTTTTATAATAGCAACTTTAACTTTGCTGTAATACCCCTGGCTTTCTTATATTCTGGCTGTTCTCTTAATTCTCAAATAATTGCTAACAAATATACAGTTATTATTCCTATTAATCTTTCAATCCAATTCTTTGGTCGAGTAAATACATTCAACAAAACTCTTAACTTTAATACCAA